TGGCACCAGAAAGTCAGGCCGGCTGCAGGCAGGGAGGTCGGTGGTGGTGGTGGTGGGGGTGTGTGTGCGTTGGTCATGGCTGCTCTGCTGAAAAGCACATGCAGTCCCCAGAACCCACGTGCCTGTGTGTGCTGGGAGCCTAAAGCTTGATCATTTCCTGCAGGCCAGAGGAGGAAGTGGCCTGCCAGGTGGAGTCACGCCTGCAGCCTGGGCAGGCACATGTCCAGCCCACGAGGAGCCAGTTTAAGCATCTACTTGGCTCTGGGACGCGGCCGCCCTGTGTGCTGCCACCAGCCAACTTGTCTGCTCCTGTGAGCTTCCTCAGGGGCAGCCGTCCGCTAAAGCAAATGCCCCACTTTCCCCCAGAGCAGTGTTGTCGGATAGAACTTCCTGTGAGGGTGGAACTGTTCTACCTCTGCGCTGTCCTGGGGGGAGCCACGAGCCACATGGGTTACTGAGCACTTGAGATGTGGCCCTTAGGACTGAGGGACTGAATTTACTTGAACTAATTTACTTTTTTTTAAAGAACTATTTTATTTTACTTTATTTATTATTAAGATTTATTTTCCTGGGACCAGCAGTTAGTGTAATGGCTATGTCGCTGGACTCCCATGGAGTTGACCGCAGTTCGAGTCCCGGACCCGGTGGCTTAAACTCAAGCCGGGTGTGTGTGCGTGCGTGCCCAAGATCCTGAGAGGAGAATGGAGGAGAAGGGATTGCGGCATGGCCCTCCACCCCTGGAGGGTGATTTCTCGCTTTCTATCTCTCTGTCTGTCTCTGTCTTTCTGGCGAACGCACGTGCCCTATAGCAAAAAAAACTCTCAAAAAAATAAATTAAAAAAAAAAGATTTATTTTCCAGTTTTGATCAGAGAAAGAGAGATGAGGGAAAGTGAGAAAGCAAGCCACCAGGTTTGGGACTCGAACCACAGTTGCCCATGTGGGAGTCCAGCGCCCTCAACCACCACACTGGCCCCATAACTTTAACTAATTTAAATAACCACTCTGAGGCCAACCTGGTGGCATGGTGGTTAAGGTGACTGGATCCCACATGACTGACTGAGCCATTCGAGTTCCGGACCCAGCAGCTTGAAAATCACACTGGGTGTGCATGCGTGCCCAAAATCCTGAGAGGAGATCAGAGGAGAAGGGATTGTAGCATGGCCATCCGCTCTGTGGAATGCCCTCTCCCTCTTTCTCTCTCTCTAAATATATATATATACATATACCACTCTCTCTCCAGCTAGTACCTGTATCCTATAGCAAAATTAATAAATAAATAAATAAAAATAAAAAATAGCCACTGGGGCTGGTGGGTGACCTGTTGGTTAAGGCACTAGACTCCCATAGTCGACCACAGTTCAAGTCCTAGACCCGGCAGCTTGCTTTCTCACTTTCCCTTTCTCTCTCTCTGTCTCTCTCTGGTCAAATTCAAAAA